TTCAATGCTGCCACAAGTAAGGAAGACTTTTATGTGGGCTGAAACCGCTTGTGAGATATGGGAACAAGCGAAGTCCACCTATTCAGAGCAGAGACACTATGCCAAGATATATCAACTACAAGCTGAATCCTCTACTTGCAAGCAGGGGGAAAGGAGTCTCTCAATATACTATTCTGATTTGACATCAATATGGAAAGAACTTGATCACTATCAGAATGTGAATTGGAAGTGTGATGAAGATGCAARGGCTTATAAGTCACTTGTATCTCAGCAACGAGTGTTTGCCTTACTCCTAGGGCTGAATCCGTCATATGAGTCCATTAGGGTGCAAATCTTGGGTAGTAAAGACTTGCCATCAGTTCAAGAGGTATATGCCTTGGTGCAATCAGAAGAAAGCAGAAGAAGTGTGATTAATGGTATAGAAGGGGAGTCAGTTGCCCTAGCTGTCCGGGGAAATTAAGATACAAATGTAGGAGGTGGTTTTAAAAATGGTGACACTCAGAAAAAATCAGATGATAAGAACAAGCTTTGGTGCACTCACTGCCAGAAGACACGACACACGAAAGATACATGTTGGGATCTCCATGGAAAACCTAATGGGCACAAGATTTGGGTAAGAAGTATCAGGGCAAGAAACCAGGCTAGCAGAATCAAAAAAGGTATAACTCAGCTAATATGGCATCGACAGAGACTAGTCCTTCAGTAACTCAGGAGAGACATCACAATTCTGACCCTAAGGAAGATATTATCAACTCCTTCCGTGAACATTTGGAATTATACGGTAGGACTCTCCGCCAGATGGATTATGAGCCTACTCCTTCTACCTCGTTTGCGTCTACATCAGGTAATGCCACAGCCTTCCATGTGTCATCTCATACTACTGATTCTCCTTGGATTATTAACTCCGGAGCCTCAAATCACATGACCGGTATTTCAGACAAATAACCTTCTCTCTAGGAGAGAGAAGGTAAGACTGGCTGATGGTTCTTTTTCTACCATAGCTGGTCGGGGCACAATACCTCCCCCACTTGGCCTTACTCTTCCTAATGTACTGCACGTTCCGAAATTACCTATTAATTTGTTGTTCATTAGTAGTCTGACTCACTCATTGAATTGCTCAGTCGCTTTTTTTTCGTCTTCATGTGTGTTTCAGGATTTGACCTCGGGGAAGACGATTGGTAGAGGAAGCATGGTGGATGGTCTCTACGTGTTGGAGAATAATGCTGGTCTGGTGGCGACAAAGTCCACGAGTTCGTCAAGTGAGAGTCAAGCCTATTTATGGCATAGTCGTTTAGGTCATATTTCTTTTGAGTCGTTAAAAGTTATGTTTCCAAATTTGTTTGAGTCCTTGTCAGTGAGTCAGTTGCAGTGTCAAACTTGTCAGTTGAGTAAGCATTGTAGAAGTTCTTTAGCTTTATGAAATAAAAGATCTAAATTTCCATTTCATATTATTTATTCTGATGTTTGGGGCCCTATTACTCTATCTATTGCGGCTGGCTATAAGTACGTTGTTACTTTGATTGATGATTATTCTAGATACACTTGGATTTACCCTATGCGATCACGAGATGAAGTGCCACAAATTGTGAAAGATTTTCAATGCATGGTGTTCACTCAATTCCAAACGGAAATCCATATCTTCCAGTCGGACAATGTGAAGGAATATTTCCATAGTGATCTCACAAAGTTTTTTGCTTCGAGTGGGTCACTTCAGCGAAGCTATTGTGCCAGGACACCCCAACAAAATGGTGTGGCTGAATGGAAGAACCGTCACCTTCTCGAAGTCGCTCGTGGTTTGTTGATTCATATGAATGTGCCAAAACAGTTATGGATGGATGCAGTCTTGTGTGCGACATATATCATCAATCGCATGCCCTCTCGGCTACTAGAGTATAAGGCCCCACATCAGCTCTTGTTCCCTACAGCCCTGCTGTTCACCATTCCGATGCGTGTTTTTGGGTGTCGTTGTTTTGTCCATAACT